GATGCTACAGAAAATAGTACTTTTTGAAATTAGTACACCGTTGACTAGTCAATGGTACTACAGAAAGCAGCCCACATGTAGGTTGTCCTCATCAGCTATAAGACTTGTTTTTCACAAATTAAAACATAACGACTTGTTTGTCAATCAGGGTATCAATAATTATGAATTGTTTCCTTCAGTTAATGCACCATTAAATGTGTCTAGAGACGAATTTTGGCTGTTTTATTAGAAAACTAGTTACAATATTACTATGGAAAATTCAGTTTTTCTACTGCAATTTTTAAACGGTAAGAGATAGAAAGAAAACTTAAATACGTAAAATGTTTGTTTAAAAAGGACCTTTCACGTGGTATGAAATTTGTTATACCTTGCTATTAAAGAATTTTGAGTTTTCACCTTTCTTTTATTCTTAAAATTTGAGATTTTTTAAAAATTAGAAGATAACATGGAAAATGCCCTTATTACAAGTTATCTTAAAGAGTAGATCAAGAATAAGCTTGGAAAGAAATTTGGCGCTGTTCCGTTCAGTAGTTTGGGTAATACGGCACTTAACTTCAAAGTCCTTTTTAAAAACGTTTTGACCCACCCTGTAAATACGGTTAAAGATAATTACATTTTTATTGCACCAAAATAGTCGGTGTGATTAGACCTTTAAATTGATGTATCACACAACCCATGTTTACATTTGAAAATTTCTCAAAAAGCACCCCTACCCCCCAAATTGGGCCCTTTTGGGGCATTTTTCGAAATTGAAAATAATTTTATTGGATTTGGCATGTCCAAATTAGGGGGAAATGAGAACAAACAAGTGTTAAAAGCCTTACCTTTGCACACAACAGATATGGAAAGTTTTCAAATGAACACCCTGTATACAGCCGCTTGTGTAACTGACTGGGGATACAAATTCTAGACCACTTCTAGATGAGCTAGAGACTTGAAATTTTCGGTGGTTGTAGGTCTAGTGCCCAAACCACCCATAAAATTCCAAAAAGTCGTATTTTCAAATTTTAACCCCCCTGAAATTTCGAATTCCCCCCATGTTACGTCCAGAAAACAGATTTTTTTGTGACAGCACTAAAAAATCTGTTTTCTGGACGTATGGCCATGGTTGGTATATCCTAGGCGTGCGCTTGGTTGATCACTGACAGGTGTGCGTGTGTGTGTGCTAGTTCTTGCGAGTGTGTGTTGTGTGTGTGCGTGTACGTGTGTAGGTGTGTGGGTGTTTATGTAAGGTGGTATGTTTTAAAAGTTTATTGTTTCTTTTTACATTAAATATTGTAAATAGATTATAGTATTTTATTTGTATTGTACATTGTTTTGTTTTATTTGTATGTTTAGATTTGTATAAACAGGTTAAGTGTAAGAGAGGGCCATGTGGCCCTAACTTTGCCTGACTAAATAAATCATTTTCATTCATTCATAAATCATTTTCATTTTCATTTTCATTCATTTTCATGTTATTCTTATGGGGAATAACATTAAAAATGGCCGACTTTGGTGTGCCCATCTGAACGGTTTAGAAACGTGCTAGAGACTTCACATTTGCGTAGTATTGTACTATGGGATCTTAAATTAACGGTGAATATCGCAAAAGTCCCATTTTCCAATTTTAACCCCCCCCAAAAATCCAAAATGGCGGACCTCTGAAAACGACAAAACACGTTTTTTTCAAAGGGATATAGCTCGAAAACGGTAAGAGCTAGAAAAGATTTGAAAGAATCTTAGCGAAAGGAAATTTAATTTTCTACAAAACCCTCTTAAGCGTTTTCCAAAAATCGCACTCCTTCAGCTTCAAAAAACGGCCTACTTTCAAAATTTTGTAAATTTCATTCACATTTTTTACGGTTTTCGCTATTTTTTCATACTTAAATAATTTCTTTCTGCAGATATTATTAATGCTCTGTATTCTCCTTAATTTACTTTATATTTTACTCATTTAATGTTTTTTTTGTATCTTTACTCCTTAACCCCCAAAACTTAGGTTTAATGTCAAAATTTAAAGGTTTTTTACCACTTTTACAAGCCCCATGTTATTCTTACGGAGAATAACGTTGAAAGTGGTCGACTTTGGTATGCTCATCTGAACCGTTTAGAAACGTGCTAGAGACTTTGAACTTGGTATTATTGTAGTAGGGGATCTTATATTAACGGTGAAATTTGCAAAAGTCCCATTTTCAAATTTTAACCCCGCCAAAAATTCAAAATGGCGGACCTCTGAAAATGATAAAACACGTTTTTTTCAAACGGATATAGCTCGAAAACAGTAAGAGCTAGAAAAGATTTGAATGGATTTTCATGAACATGAATTAAATTTTCTACAAAACCCTATTAGGTGTTTTCCGAAAATCGCACTCCTTCGGCTTCAAAAAACGCCCTACTTTCAAAATTTGGTAAATTTCTTTCAACTTTTTACCGGTTTTCGCTATTTTTTCATACTTAATTAATTTCTTTCTGGAAATATTATTATTGCTTTGTATTCTCCTTACTTTACTTTAAATTTTACTCTCTAGGCCTACATGTTTTTTCGTAACTTTACTCCTTGATCCCTAAAACTTAATTTTAATGTAAAAATTTGAAAGTTTTTACGAGCCCCATGTTATTCTTATGGAGAATAATGTTGAAAGTGGCCGACTTTGGTGTGCTCATCTGAAAGGTTTAGAAACGTGATGGAGACTTGACATTTGGCAGTAACGTAGTATGGGATCTTAAATTAATCGGTGAAATTTGCAAAATTCCCATTTTCAAATTTTAACCACCTCAAAAATCCAAAATGGCGGACCTCTCTCCTTTTAAGTCTTTTTTTGGTTTTCGCTACGTTTTCCTACCTTTGCGATTTTTTTGCAATTATTATTAATGCTTTGTATTTTCCTTAGTTTACCTTAAATTCTACACTGTACATGCTTTTTCGTAACTTTACTCCTTAACCCCTAAAACTTAAGTTTAATGTCAAAATGTGAAATATGTTTACGAGCTCCATAACATTTACAAAGTTTTAAAAGGACTCTTTACATGTTATATGGGCACAAGGGTATTGCAACTATACACACTTTACTGTATTAAAGCTAACACTAAGGTGAATGTAAAATGAACCATATAAAAATTCCCCTCCCCCCCCCTCAAAAATCGATTTCTCCCCTTATATCTTTCCTATAGTCACTACAGGTGCATCGGTCTAAATCACGTTTTCCCCCTTCTAGATTAGCTGGATATTGAAATTTGGCGCCATTGTAGATCTTGAGCTCTTGTTTAAAACTGACATCTACAATAATAACCCCCGCCCCAAATATCGAATTCCTCCCCCCTCCCCCAATATTATTCTTACAGGTGCATCGGTCTAAATCACGTTTACCCATTTTTAGATTAGCTGGAGATACTGTAATTTGGCCCAATTGTTGGTCTTGCACCCTTTTCGGAAATTGACATTTGAAAATAATAACCCCCTTCCAAAATATTGACTTCCCCAATGTCATTCCTACAAGTGCGTCGGTCTAAATCTTATGGGAAATAACTTTTTAAGCTTCTGACTTTTTTATGGGGAACGGAAGCCCCCCACACAATGACTTTTAAAGACTACTTTTCGGTAATAACCATCTTACAGTTATTTTTATTTGTATTGCCTTCTTGACTTCTTTACAATTCTTTGACTTGGCCTTTCAACCCCTCCCCCCCCCCCCCAAAGTCTTGAATTCCCCCCTTTTATTTTTATAGGAAATAGGTTTGAAAGTAGATATTTGTAACTAGAGATTTTTAATTTGCCAAGGATGTAGTAAGTAATCTAATAAGTCAACACCCCACAATGGGGTACTGGGGCTGGACTCTAATCTACTAATGACGACTAACTAAGAAATCGTTATTACATTAATATTGATTTTCCCTATTACGACCCCAATTATCCTTATTTTGTCACTTCGTTTGACCAAAAACTCACTTGTAAAAATACCTTACCATCTTATAATCTTACAGCATTTAAAAAGATATTTTTATTTTTTTGTTACCTATTAGCAGGGGGTTTGAATTGGAGCTCGGACTTAACTTATAAACCTCCTCTAAAATAAACATGGAATTGCTTTCATATAACGTAATATCGTAAGTTTCACTTCCTGCTTTGTTACAACTAAACTCTTATCTACCTACTAATCTTTTTTTATAAACTTTAGACAAGAGGTTTTATTAGGTTTTTTTTAAGGTGGAGCTTGAAATTAACTTGCCAACCTCCTCTAATGTATTCGTGAAAATTTTTTAAATTACGTAATATTGACTGTTTTACTGCCCACTTTGTTTCAACTTTGTTACAACTCTAATCTACTAATGACGACTAACAGCTAGGGGGCCTGGGGGCGGAGCCCCCAGCGAGCCAAAGGCGAGTATATCATAAGATGGTCAAATTAAATTCAATAAAATATTAATATAGATCTGAATGAATATCGATATATTGATACTTATCGTTATTCATCTGATAGTACCAATATCACAGGTTCTCTACAGAACTCTACCCCTTAGCCTAGCCTCACAGTTGAACAGATGGAAAATTAGTAGGCCTACCTAGGCCTATTTTTAAGTTAATGCCTGGTCCTGTGTTGAAATTATCTTGAGTTGGGACCAGTAGGCCTACAAATGTAATTAAGGGATAGGTCTATATGTATAAGCCAAATTGATAAAAATAACAAAAAAAAGCATTCGCCTAGGCTTGTGAAAAGCAAGATCTTGGCCTAGGCTAGTTACAAAAAATAAAAAATAAACATCTGCTTATTTGCTAGCCACACACTTGGTGTCACCACTAATACTAACAGTTTATTCATTATATCATTGAAAGGTAGTCCAGTTACTGGGTCTGTTGACGAATATTGAACCCAAATAAAAACTAAATGACATACAGATACAGTACAACTCAACAAGTGAGGTTATCTTTCGAAATATTTTTAATTCTCTCATTTTAAGTGTGAAAATTATCACAAAGAAATTTAACAAGGAAATACTAATACTATTCACTAAATACGAACATGAAAATCCAGATAGAAAGGTGAAAATCACACTGTAATACTTGTGAGAAGTTGCAAACACAACACAACTTTGACTTACGCTACGCTAGCTTTGATTTTGATTTGCTTTTTTGCTAAAAAAAAAACAAATTAAATTATTTAGCTAGCAGTAGCAGACTAGACTGATCAGATCAGATTCAAATTCGATTCGATAAAGATTCAATTATTCTCTAAAGTTTCCAACTCTAATTTCATAAAAACAATTTTTTTAAAAATACCCCCGCTGCAGCAGACCTGCAGACTAAGCGAATTTTAACTTGTCTGATTACTTTTTTACTTAAATATTTCCATAAATAAGACATACAAGACAAGAAAAATTGATTTTTGGTGAACAGCTGGTTTTCACAACTGTGGGGACCTCAAGGCTATGTCTTGGGCCCCCTTCTGTTTTCAATTGCTATAAATGATCATCTGCCTAGTGCCTATAAATCTTAGTTGCAATTCCTATCTCTATGCGGATGATAACCGCTTGCGGAATGGGCACACGGGAGGAACTAAGGCTAAAGGTGTAGTGACGTCATATCTCTAGTGGCTAATGTCTACTCTTGAGGCAACACGATTACCGCGAAACGATGAGTATTCAGTGGCGTTCGTGGCATAGTTGATAGCGTTTCGATTTGGTGTTCAGATGGTCCCGGGTTCGAATTCCGCTGGTGGCTTTAACTTTTTGTCAGCAAATTTTATATCAGCAAGTTTGGTTGGTTAGGTTAGGTTATGACAGTTTAATTTTATAATACTAAATTTTAAAATTAATTTAATATTTAATTAAAAATTATAAGTAATCATTAATTAGATTTTTATCTTATAGGTACAGTTTTCATATTATCAGCAAGTCTGGTTGGTTAGGTTATGTTATGGCAGTTTTATTTTACAAATTAAAAAATAATTTTATAATTTTAATCAATATTTTATAATTAAAAAGTTAATTTTATAACTAAAAATAAAAAATAGTTTTTTCAACTTAGCGGTTCTAGCGGCGAACGCTGACACTACAAGATATGTTAGCCTTAGTCCCTCCCGTGTGTCCCACCGACCACCTTGCTATCTTGTCACAGTGACCTTTTGCATCTTAAGTCAATGTCAGAAACACAGTCAATACTGCTGCCGAGTGGTTTTCAGCCTCCCAGACAGCACACTTTATCCCAGGGACATCCCATAGTAGTCCCATATGTCCTGAGAATGTCTCGGGATATGTGCGCTAACCTCAGGATATCCCGCAAAATCCCGGGACAAGTACGAAATCCACAGGATATCCTACAATATACCGTAATGTCCCGGGATTTGTAAGTTAACCTCAGGATATCCTGTAAAGTCCCGGGATATGTACGAATGCCATAGGATATCCCAGAATGTCCCATGACATCCCGGGACATGTACAAAATCCACTGGATATCCTGTAATGTCCCGTAATGTCCCGGTAACAAACTGAAGAAAAAAAAATACTATCACTGATGAAATGTACAGTATATCTAAATTTAAATGTTCAACAAGGCCAATATATAATAATTTGTTTTTTTTCACTAGTGCTTTCAGAAACTTGGTTTCCATCTTCAGGCTGTGTTTACACTAGTACAAAGAGTAAATATTTACTTAATAAATTAAATTTAAACAAAGTTAAAACAGATGATTTAAAGGATATTGGAAAAATAAAAAATAATATTAGAAAAATTAATCTTTTGAATTTTGGATATGTTACAGTGTTGTTCTTGATGTAATTATTTTCAGTAATTCCGAATTTATAATTGGGCCGTCTTCATTATTTAACAAATAATTTTGGTCTGTTTTTTTTCTAAAAATAAGATTCCCACGCATTTAGATGTTGAGGTTTTATAATTTATTTTAAAAGTTTAAGGTTTCCCAGATTGAAAATATGTCTTGTTAATACTATGGCTAGAAAGGGTTGACTTTACTTTACTGACATATTACTACCACTGAGTTCAGGAAAACTAGAGTTCTATCATAGTTGTGTGAAATGTGAATTTAATTCTAGCTTTAAATTAATAAAACAACAAAAAACTAATTTTAATCATATAACAATCAATTATTACAGTGCTAATCTAATGGTGATTAAATAATCTATATTCAAATACCAGTATCCTCTCCAACTACCAGAAAAACAATTCAACTACTTGAGGTCTAAACAGATTAACAGAATCATATATAGCCTATACTGTAGTATCAAAAATATTTTAAGTATTGCGACCATTGCAACTGTCGGCTACTCTTTAACCACTTGAAAACACCCATTATCAACAAGCGCAGATAGCTCAGGAGGTAAGGTAAGAAGCTCACAAGGCGAAGGTACCAGGTTCAAAACCCGTCTGGGCCAAAAACTTTTTTCTCGTTTTTTTCTTCAAAATTTGTGTTTATTAACTGTTTAATCAATTTACTAAACTTATAATTAAGCTTTTCATACTAAATCTATATTATTTTGTGTTTTTTATGTTCAGGCCCAGACCACACTTTATCCCAGGGACATCCCATGGTAGTCCCATATGTCCTGAGAATGTCCTGAGGACTACCCTGGGATGACCTCGGATGTCCCACGGATATGCGTGTGAGCTTATCCGTAGGACATCCCCGGGCGGGGACATTAGGCATTCCTGTGGATATCCTGTGATATCCCAAGTTGACCATAGGACCACTATGGGATATCTTGCATATCCTGTCGCAATATCCGTGGGATGTTCTCAGGAGAAAGTGTGCTGTCTGGGATATAGTTCGGCCGCTTAGAAAGCGACCTCCTCTAGCATTGGCTTAGCATTAGCACGCAGGTCGTTTTCTAAGCGGCCGAACTATAGTTATTAATAGTTTTCCTTTGAATAAAGACAAAACCTAATCAGTCATATTTTGCCTAAGACCTCTACATGATAGGTCCACTTGAAGCTGAACTGTCCAATGTGGTAAAATTTCTGGGTGTCCATATTGACAAACAATTGACTTGGTCTGATCATATAACCATGGTGTACCTGGAGACGGAGCTTTGCTCGGGGAAAATCATTCCCCCACTCTGCGATGCCAGCCTTTACTACTTCCTTCACCATTTCCTACGTCATTGTTTCCCTCCCTTCTCATAGCATTTAAGTATTAGAGAAGCATTAATCTAACTGACACAAACGGTTCCTACACTCTGCGATGCTAAACTTTACTACTTCCTACGTCGTGGCGATGTTGTCATCTCTTTCCATTGCATTTTAGTATTTTAAATACATTAACCTAATTGCCAACAACATTTCCCACACTCCGCACTGCTAGCATTTACTAATTCCTATGTCTTGGACATCTTTCCATCCCATCTCATAGCATTTCAGTATTTCACTTTCAGATACAGAAATCGAACTGTTACAATTGGTTTCCAGTTCCCAGACTCCACAGTGCTCGCCTTTACTACTTCATTCACCTCTTCCTACGTCGCGGACCTGTTTCCCTCCCTTCCCATTGCATTTTAAGATTGCAGATACCTTAATCTAATCCTTATAAACTGTTCCCACACTCCGGACTGCTCGCCTTGACTACTTCCTTTACCACTTCCTACGTTTCGGACCTGTTTTCCTACCTTCCCATAGCATTTTAAGATTGTAGATACCTTAATCTAATCGTCGTTAACAGTTCCCACACTCCGGACTACTCGCCTTTACTACTTCCTTCGCCACTTCCTACGCCGCGGACCTATTTCCCTCCCTTCCCATAGCATTTTAAGATTGTGGATACCTTAATCTAATCGTCATAAACAGTTCCCACACTCCGGACCGCTCACCTTTACTGCTTCCATCACGACTTCCTACGTCACGGACCTGTTTCCCTCCCTTCCCATAACATTTTTGCATTGTTGGATTTGAATGCCGCGCCATAATAACACTAGTGGCGCTGCGGCGGGGCGCACACGAACTACCTTTACCATCAACTTGGCCGGGGAATCGAGCTCGCCCACAGCCGCCTTTTACTCCAGGCCGCGGCCTTCGAATCGAACTGGCAACGTAGCAAGTGGTGTTGTAACAGCTGTTTTTGTTTGGAAGCAGCTAATGGTATTTGTGTATTTACGAAAGATTGGTTACTGGACTATGACAATATTGTCTCCGCTTAAAAATGTACAGATATAGATTTTAATTCATATTGTTTCGGTTTTAAATTCTGTATGTTTTATTTTCAATATTTTAATAAATTTATGTTCATAAATTTACATTTAAATCAATAAAGTGCGAATTAATGAGCTGATGTCACCTGTCTGCCATGCTATCTTATGGGACGTCTGTCACTGAACAAAACCACTTGCGACGTTGCCAATTATTCTACCAGGCCGCGGCCTGTAGTTAAAGGCGGCCGTGGCTCGCCTCAACGGCCCCTATGCCCTATGTGATTTATCTATCTATATCTATAAAAGAGGAACTATGTATGTATATATATGTGTATATACGTTATGGACTCCGAAACTGCTCGACAGATTGTAATGAAACTTTCAGGCATTATTAAGCATCTTTCAAGGATGGTTCGAGTGAAGTTTGGTGCAGATCCGTCAAAAGGGCTCTGCCACAGAGGGTTTTAAGTGGGCCATTGTCAGACTTTTTGATCTAGAATGTTAACAAATAAATATAAGTACCTGGGGACCGAGCTTTGCTCGGAGAAAATCATTAGTTCACTCTGAAAGCAGTCTTAGTATCGGAGATACATAAATCTGTTCCCAAACTCCACACAGCTCGCCTTTACAACGTCCTACACCATTTCCTACGTCATGGACCTGTTTCCCTCCATTCCCATAGCACTTTAAGATTGTAGATACCTTAATCTAATCGTTATTAACAGTTCCCACACTCCAGACAGCTCGCCTTGACTACTTCCTTCACCACTTCCAACGTAGCGGACCTGTTTTTCTCCCTTCCCATAGCATTTCAGAATTGCAGATACGTTAATCTAATCGTCATAAACAGTTCCCACACTCCATACTAATCGCCTTTACTACTTCCTTCACCACTTCCTACGTCGCAAACATGTTTCCCTCCCTTCCCATTGCATTTAAAGATTGCAGATACATTAATCTAATCGTCATAAACAGTTCCCACACTCCG